GATGAGATTGTTATTATTCTTATATTTTTCCACGATGTCGGCTATGGTCGAGAGCTGCTTCCAATGGCGATTTCGGTCGCAATTGATTCGCTGGAAGGAGAGGATCCCGTCACTCCTTCGTCTGGCATCTGCATCTAAGTCGACGTCGACGTTCGCACTCCCTGTCGCTGCTGGCGTCGTTGTCTTCCTCTGTCGCTATCGTTTCGACGTTCGCACTCCCTATCGCTACACTATTATGCTCGACGTTGTCGTCTTACAGAGGCTCGACGTCGTCGTCTTCCGCGCCTCTGTCACTCACAGCTGTCGTCTGCGTGCAATTCTTCTGTTTCGCCGCTGCTCCTGTTTCTGCGCCCGACAGCCCCTCTGCCTTTCAACAACCTCGCAGCAGACAGTTTAACGCCGATAGCCTCTTATGGCTTTTACTTCGTCTTTAGTTGAGCCGGACAAAGTCTCCTTTGCCCGCTTGGTGGGTAACTCTCAGGAGGAGTTCGCAGTGGTATTCCCATCAAGTTATAAGGAATATCGTGAGGGTACAGATGATTGTCCTTTTATTAAGAAGGGAAATAGGAAGGCAGGAAAAGAAGTAATTTTTTTTCCTTTGAATCATAAATTTCTACCATGATGACAGAAAAATTCAAGTTTGCTCTTATTGACAAGTTTCAGTGGGGACACCCTCCTATAGATGTTATCAGAAATAGTGTTGATGATCTGAAGCTAGTAGGCAAGTGAAAAGTGACACTCATGGATGAGAGACGTGTGTTGATCCAACTAACGGTGGCTGAAGACTACACCATAATTTTCTCCAAGAAATATCTTAATTTCGAAGGCAAATCAATGAATTTACTTAAGTGGTCTCCTAATTTTGACCCAAAGCACGAAACTCTCACTATACCAGTATGATTTAGTTTACCTGGTTTCAAGCTGCATTTTTTTAATCACCAGGTTTTCTACTCTATTGGGGCCATACTTAAGAATCGTATGAAGCTAGATCTACCCACCTTCAATATAACTAGACATCCCTCGGTGGCCAAAATACTTGTGGAAAGGGATATTACTTTACCTGATGTTACTGAAGCCAGCTGGACATAACCCATAATGGTTATTGACAACAAATCTTAATGAACAACAAATTGTCATGGAGCAGAAACCCCCATATTGTACCCACTGTAAGATGCTTGGTCATATACTTGCTAAATGACACAAGCTTCATCTTATTTTGAAATCTAAGGTTCAAGTGAATAAGGATGGGTCTAACCCTACTGCTATGGACATTTTAATTCCACCTGAGTATCCGGTGTAGAGGCAACTCATGCTTCACATATTCTAGAACCTATTGTGGGTACTATTGTTGGTATTCCTTCTGCTTCAGATCTACCCCATCTGGCTGATTCTTCGGAGGAGAAATGACAGGTTTGCACTTCCAGGGGGAAGAAGAATGGACACCTACAAACTCCATAGAAAACAATACTGATGGAGTATTATCTATAAATGATAGTGCTCAGACTGATAATCAGGAAAGCATCGTAGCTCCACTTCTTCAAGAAGTATCCGGTGTAGAGGCAACTCATGCTTCACATATTCTAGAACCTATTGTGGGTACTATTGTTGGTATTCCTTCTGCTTCAGATCTACCCCATCTGGCTGATTCTTCGGAGGAGAAATGACAGGTTTGCACTTCCAGGGGGAAGAAGAGGAATGAAGAAGAAGAATGAAGATCTACTAGAGCGCAGGAGTCTTATGGATGATACTTTGGTTACTACGGGTAATGATCAGCACCTTACCAATCTGCTAGCTGAATCCCTATCGAGAAATAGAGTCAGAGACAAGACTAGATTGGGATGACCTATACTTTTTCTGTTATTTTTAGGGTTTTGGATGAGCGGCGCAGGATTTGTTTTTTGGGTTTTTTTTTTATTTCTATATGTACCCATAATTTACATTTTTTTGTAGCGCCAGGATGATTTTTGGGTTTTTTTTTTATTTTTATATGTACCCATAATTTACATTTTTTGTTTGGGTGTTTAGGCCCACCCATACAAACCTATCTATATCTTTCTCTTTAATATATCAGTCATTGGGCTTAAACCTATCTATATCTTTCTCTTTAATATATCAGTCCTTGGGCTTTATATATATATATATATATTATTCTTTATTAAAAACATGATAATACAAATTATAGAAGAATTAACTTCATAAATTTAATTTATATTATAAAACCTCATGCATATGAAAATTAATTTTTAAAATTAGATAATATGTTTCAAAAGAATTAATCCTACTTATAATGTAACTTATTTACTAAAATTTCAAAAATAATATGCTTATAAAGAGAGAATTATTAATGCTCGGCTTTGATGAATATTTGATGCCCATTTGATGCTTGATTTTGACGAATGATAGAGGGAGCTTCATATGATGAGAGATGGGGCGGTTTTGACTACGAGGTATAATTAAAGCTATACACATATTTATAATTTTCTAATTCTCATATCTCATTTTCTCAAAATTGTGTTAAGTTCTATGTCCAATGCAGTGTTGAGGTGTGAACCGGACGTGCACAGACCTGAAAAAAATTCAGATATAAATTTTGTAGTGTCAGGGAAGTGATGGGGTGTGTCGTACAGGCATCGGTGTTTGATACGTGTCTGACACGTGTACGAGACATTTTTAGAAGTGTCAGTGCTACATAGCTGATTAATAATCAAATCTTAAAATAGATGAAAAGATTTTTTACATCTAAAGTGGAATTATATGCATACCATAAAATTGACTTGTAGTCAAAATTTCTATCTTTGTTGATATGAAACATAATGAACTACTACTAACTGACTAACAAATTTAGTTACATTGACTATCTTAAATCTTAGTGAAATCTATAGCTCTAGAAGGAACTTTAATATCCACGACGAAACAAAAGTTGAGAATTTATGTCCTCGTTACTTCTTCCTAGTGAAAAATACACTATTCTAGATAATGGAAGTGATAATTCACTTGAAGTAAAGAAGGCACTGCTCACTGTAATCTTTCACATAAAATAATAGTAGCACTAACTTCACACAGCTCAATGACAAGCTTCTTGAATTCTTATTAGTGTTCCAAGTGGTGTCTACCAGTGCTTGGTCTTTTGCGAATGTTTTGTTTGCTTTCATGGAATTTCAATGCCATGCCAAGAGCACACGAGACAATGGATCTGCACTCAACACAGCTACTTGATACTGACAATGACACAGTTAAAGGATTTTTGGTAGACAATAATCCTCACTCCTTGCCACTCCCCCAGGAGGACCTATGTGCAAAGAGAAATGAAATTTAAGGAACCATTTATGGGTTTTTTCTGACCCGAATGCTTGTAAAGTTAAAATTTCGGAGTGTAAATGCATGTCATCCTCCCTTATATTCCCTTCACTTGTTGTACCTTCTATGTTTCTGTTTCCATGTTATGATTTTTTGATTACCTAGTTATTCAGAACTGTAATTTGCATTTTTTGATTGGGGAGTATGTTGCGTAGCCATGCATTTTTTATTGACCTCCCAACTCTCTTCTGTGCAGCTTTGCATCTTGCTTTATTTTTTTCCTTCTGCATGTTCCTTAAATTATTAAGCTTTCAGCCAAGAATTATTAGTTTTATTTAAAATCAGTCCACAATTCTCGCTCCTGCCCTTTTTAAGAAACTTAGCACTTATTTAATCTTAGAACCTGATGCTATCTTGACATCTGATACTCCACTTTCTACTCACAAGTTATTTTCTTCATGTTCTTTGTACATAAAATAACAACGTTACCTGGACTAGATAATGACTTCATTGGATAGGCTATGCTCGTTGGAAGATTGCTACTATGCTCAAAGTTGTTATTATCTTCTACTATGCACAAAGATGTTATTATCTGCTACTATGCTCAAAGATGTTATTATCTGCTGCTGTACGAAGTGCTTTCTGTGAAACTACTGGGCTGAATTTTAATGAAGATTCTGTGTGTGCATTTTTATTAAATCTGGTTATACTCACAAAGTAAACAATATTTGGAAGAAACTTAGAGCCTATCAAATATCTGTTATTGTTATATTCTGTTCTTTCTCTGTAAACTTGATGATGATTGTAAACTTTCAAAAATGCAGAAAATTGATCCCAATATTTCAGTACAATTACTAGAGTATGACAGGCGATTTGAACAATATGGTAGTGATTATATATTCTATGACTACAACCTTCCTGAAGAATTGCCGTTAGAATTGGGACGAGCCTACAAAATTATTGTTGCGGACCCTCCTTACTTGGTATGTACATTAATTGTAATTTGAATACATCAACATTTTATCTGAGTTACTAGCAGCGTAAGATTTCACCATTCCTCATCTGGATGGTATCAGTAGATTAAACATGTTTTGACAATATTGTTGAAATTGTTTGAGGGTAAGTGGTTTGCTTATTTGCGATCCATGAAGTTATTGATGATTTGTGTTGGTCCTCTATTTTTTCTTCCACCAAACAGTACTGGCCATGATCCAAGTATAGATCACTTTTAAACAAATTATTTTATGACATTTTTTATAACAATCAACTAAAAATTTAATGCTTAATTTCTTGATTCGTTTGTTTCTTAGAGCAAAGAGTGCTTGGAGAAAGTAGTGCAAACAATTTCCTATTTGGCTCAGAGAGAGGAGTATTATTTGTTGCTTCTCACAGGTAAATTTGCTTTCCATTCATCTTGGAGTGTGTAGTTTCTACGAGTTTTACATTATTCTGTATCATTTCACAGATACCTTTTTTATTTTTTTTTTTGTCATTAGATTTTAAGGCTTCTCTTTTTCGTAAATACACTCTACTATTTGGTCACGTGAAGCTTACTCCTAAACTCGAACTTTATTGTTAGATGTTATCTTGATTTTCACAGGTAAAAATACAAGCAACTTTGTAAGTTAGTTAGTTCCATGTGATTTCTTTTTTTCATTGTTGAGAGGTTAATATATAGTAGCGCTGAAGCAAATTTCCATTTTGTTGTCCACACTGCCCTCTAAAGTTCGCATAGAAGGCATACATTGAAATTTGGAAATTTCATTTAACTTTGTTTGAAGTGTGAACTAAAAGTATTTAAATTTCTCTTACATAGCCATATGGCAATATGTTTGTTAACTTAAATGTGGAAAATTGTCACACTGATCACGAGCCACCAAATAATTTGAAGACTTATTTTAAGTGCAAGGCTAAAAGGGTAATTATTATTTATTATTGTGGGGTATAAATAGGGTCAATATATTTAGAGTTAGGGCTATGATGAGATTGTTATGTTGAGTCTTAAGATTAGGTTTGGGAGAGATTATCTACTCTCGAATTGTAGGCTTTAGGGTTAGGGTTTGGAAGAGATTGCCAATCTCTTGTAGGTGCTCATCTTTTATGCATTTAAGTGTATTGTTTGATTTCTTGAAATACAATATTTGTTTTACCCTAATTTTTATGAAAATTTATTTTAGTTCATATTAAATTAGTATCAGAGCATCTATCTTGAGAAATAATGAATCAAAAGATGAGATCACAGGTCGCCATCATTATCGATCATGGTGATTTCTCTCAAAAGCTTATAGGATCACATCTTCTTCGCTCGTCGAAATAGTTGAGATACAAGTTACGATTTGAGCTAGATGGGAAGCCAATGGGATGTTAGAGGCTGGGATCATATAGCCTAGTGAGAGCTCTTTCTCTAGCTCAGTCATTAGTGAAGAAGGATGAGAGTTGGTGCTTCTGTGTGGATTATCAGACTGTAAATAAGGGAATTGTACCTGGAAAAATTTTCATTCTTGTGATCGATGAACTACTGGACGAGTTGTGTGGGTGCTGCAGTGTCCTCCAAGGTTGACTTGAAGTGAGGGTTTCAACGGGTTCGAATGCTGTCGAAAGATGTGCACAAGACTGCATTTCGAACTCATGAGTGTCAGTATAAATTTTTATTAAACACAGGATTTTCATATGAGGATGTCATGTGAGAGGAGCTAAAAGTCTTCGTACAATAGTTTATTTTTTTCTCAAATTGCGAACGAGGAGTTTTTTGGGGAGGGAATTAATTTTACATCGACGTCGAGCTCACCAAATAATTTAAATACTTGTTTTAGGTGTAAGGCTAAAAGTGCAGTTTAGTGATTAGCCTATGATTTTATCATTTCTAATACTTTATTCAAAAAAAAGATATGAATATATTTTTACTTATAAGAATGAATTTAATAAAACACAAATTGATTTTTTTATGTGAATAAATCTTTGAGAATGTAAAGATTATAAGGTCATTCTAAGTGAGAATTTAAGTACGCAACATCGATTATTAACTCTGGATTTTAAGATGAAGAGTTGTAAAATATAGTGAGAATTTAAGTACGCAACATCGATTATTAACTTTGGATTTTAAGATGAAGAGTTGTAAAATAAATAATAATAAGAATCATTGTCATAGAATTTGATGGGGTGCCTAAAAGATAAATATGGATTTTAAGATGAAGAGTTGTAAAATAAATAATAATAAGAATCATTGTCATAGAATTTGATGGGGTGCCTAAAAAATAAATAAAATTATTTTTATGAGTAAACTTTTACATTTCAAGATTTGTGATGTTCACGAAGAAGCAAATTCTATTTGTGATAAAATAACAAACACTATTAAAAAAGTGAGAAAATATGTACTTGGAGAATCAAAAGAAAAATTTCTAAAAATAAAAATTGTTAGCGGTGAAATATTAATGTGCAATAAAAGATGAAATATAAGAAATTATGTAATTAAAATTGGTGTAAATGTAAAATCCTATAGAACTGAGAAAAACATAAAATGTTCCGAAGGGAGTCTAAGAAAATAATCTGTGATGCTAAAAATTCTGCTTTCAGTGATTTTTATACTAAATTAGATATTAAAGTGAGTGAAAATTGTATGTATAAACTAACCAAACAAAGAAAAGAGAAAATAAAAATTTAAGTCAAGTAAAGTGTATTAAATATGAAAATAAAAAACGTTTTTTTTTAGAAAAAGACATACAACATAGGTGGGTGAGTTATTTTGATAAACTTTTCAATGAAGTTGCTGAAAATACGATTGACTTTAGTGATCTTAATATTATTAATAATAATAAAATGAAGTCGTATTAGTAAAAAAGAAGTTGAGGAGGCATTAAAGAAAATCAAGGGTGGAAAATCAGTAGGACATGATGACAACCCACTAAGTATATTTAGGAGATTTCTGGAGTTTCTAGGCCATTAAACTCTTTAATATCAATTTAAAAACTAAAAAGATTCCCAAGTGGAGGAAGAGTATTTTGGTTCCCATTTTTAAGAATAAATGGGATGCACAAGATTGTGCAACTTATAGAGGAATTAAGTTGTGCCATACTTTAAAATTATGGGAGAGGGTAATTGAACATAAGTTAAGATCGATTACAAAAATTTCTCAAATCAATTTAAATTTATGTTGGACATGTCTACTATATAAGTTATACATTTATTGTCAGGTTTGATGGAGAAATACAAGAAACTAAGGAGGATTTACATGTGATTTTTATTGATTTAGAAAAGCTTATTATAAGGTTCCAAGGAATATCATTTGGAGAGTTCTAGAGGATTCTTCTTTGTTTTATGTAATGGAATAATTGAATTTTGAAAAGTCACAAAGTATTAGTACTCTTTATTGTATAAACAATTGATGTGTCATCAAGAAATTTTTTGTTGGATTACATCAGGGGTTGGCTTTAAGACCATAGATGTTTGCTTTAATTATGGATGCTCTTACTAGACATTTACAGGAGGATGTGCCTTGGTGTATGTTTTTTGCTGATGATATTCTTCTTGTGGATAAAACTACAGAAAGAGCTAAGGAAAAACATAAATTATGGAGTTCTGCACGATTGACCAAATATTTTCCTATTTTAGTTTGATTACCTCAAGGAACGACTTTAAGCCCTTATCTTTCTGTTTTAATTATGGATGCTCTTACTAGACATTTACAGGAGGATGTGCCTTGGTGTATGTTTTTTGCTGATGATATTCTTCTTGTGGATAAAACTACAGAAAGAGCTAAGGAAAAACATAAATTATGGAGTTCTGCACTGGAGTCTAAAGACCTTCGTTTGAGTATAACTAAAACTGAATACATGGAATATAATTTTAGTAGTAGAAACTCTAGTGACAGAGTTGATCAAATTATTAAAAGGTCTGAATGCTTTAGGTGAACGATTTAAATTTCTGTCGTCTCTTGTTCAAAGTGATGGTGATATAAGATGGGGATTTATTAGTAGAATTTAAGCTGATTGGTTGAAGTGGAGGAATGCTTCAGGCCTATTGTGTGTTAGAAAAGAACCGCTTGGACTGAAAGGAAAATTTTATAAGATGGTGATGACAGTGCTCTATGGCGCTAAATGTGGCCATTAAAAGAGAAACATAAAATTAAGTTAAGGGTTATCGAGATGAAAATGATTTGGTGGATGAGTAGCTTTACACTTAGAGACAAAATGCAAAATGAATATATCAGTGATAGGGTTGGTATAGCTTCAGTGGTGGGCAAAATTAGAGAGAGTCGCCTTAGATGGTTTGATTGCATTAAACGTCTACCATCTGATGATTCTGTTAGAAGAGTAGATATTTTAGATTTAACTTATGTTAAGAAAGACACAGGTAGACCTAGAAAGAGTTGGACATATTGTATAAAAAATGATCTTAATTTGTTAGAATTAAATGAAAATATGAAACTTAATTGGACACAATGGTGAAAAAAAGGATTCATGTAGCCAACCTCACTTAGTGGGATAAAAACTTGTTTTTGTTGTTGTATTATTTATTATTGTGAGGTATCAATAGAGCTAATATGTTTTGAAAAAGGGAGTAGATATTTTAGATTTAACTTATGTTAAGAAAGACACAGGTAGACCTAGAAAGAGTTGGACATATTGTATAAAAAATGATCTTAATTTGTTAGAATTAAATGAAAATATGAAACTTAATAGGACACAATGGTGAAAAAGGATTCATGTAGCCGACCTCACTTAGTGGGATAAAGACTTGTTGTTTTTGCTGTTGTATTATTTATTATTGTGGGGTATCAATAGAGCTAATATGTTTTGAAAAAGGATTCATGTAAAATGATCTTAATTTGTTAGAATTAAATGAAAATATGAAACTTAATAGGACACAATGGTGAAAAAGGATTCATGTAGCCGACCTCACTTAGTGGGATAAAGACTTGTTGTTTTTGCTGTTGTATTATTTATTATTGTGGGGTATCAATAGAGCTAATATGTTTTGAGTTAGAGCTATGATGAAATTGTTATCTTGAGTTTGAGGGTTATAGGATTTGGGAGAGACCGCCCGCCTCTCAAATTTTATGGGCTTATTTTTTATGCATTTGAGTCTGTCGTTTGGGTTCTTGAAATGACATATTTTGTTTTGCCCTAATATATGTGGAAAGTTGTCCTCGTTCATATGAAATTCACTTTCCTCAAATTTGAAGTTTTTTAAATGCTTTAGTTTTACAAATATCTTTTGAAGCCACCTTCTATTTCCTGTATTTAATTTATTTCTTAATTTCTATATGTTTATTAATTTTGCATTCTCTATTGTCCATTATATTTTTTTCTTTTGGTACAACTGCAAAACTATTCTTTGGAATACTAGTGCAGTTTATCTTGATAGGTACATTTGCCTTAAATAATCAACATTAT